TTTCTCTGCTCTGTTTTCCTACATTACATTTAAAAAACAACTAGAAAAGCAGGTGGAGGGGTAGCCATGAGGTAGGAAGGGAATGAGGGGCTATTCAGGTACTTGGGGATATTTAGCTAATGGCTGGAGGAGTGAAGAGGGTCCAAGATAGCCCCAGTCACATGCCCTTGGCTATCGCCTGGAAGCCAGAAGAAAGTAAAGTATTTCAAGGAGGAGAGGGGTCACCTCTGCTGCTGTGAGGTCCAGTATGACAGGGCAGAGATGAGATCACTGGATTTGTCACTGGGGAGATCACTCATGACTGAGGCGAGAGCAGTCTCGGACAAGTGGTCGGGGATGGGAGCTGAACCTAAGAGGACTTTGGGGGAAATGTGAGGGGAGAAAGTGGAGGAGTAACTGCTTCCAGTTACACCATGAAGGGGGCCAGGAATAGTCTTCTATTTTAAGATGATATTTACTGAAGCATATTCTTATGCGGATAGAGTGATTCAGTAGACGGGAAATTTTGAAGCAGGAAAGGGAATTTGGCCTTTGCAAACTGTAGCTCACGAAGCTAACAAGCACAGGTGAAGAACCGGCTTTGACAGACGAAGGCGCAGGGTTTCCACCGGAAAGGCAGGAAGGCAGCGTCCGGGACGGACGCTCAGGGCTGATGGGAAGAGGACGGTGTTCCTGGGTGGCTGCTTCTGTTTTCTCCAGGACATCTAAGGCAGAGTCTTCAGCTAGGAGGGAGTGCCGGGGGGTGCAGAACGTGGGAGGTTTGATGAAGACATGAAGCAGCGAAGAGACCCTAACTGGGACGTGTAAGAGTGGCAGGCAGGGCGGACAGCCACCCGAGATCCATGCCATGGACAAACATAGAACGAAACAAAGGACAGCCAACTGAAAGAGCTCTAATACTTCCCCTTTGAAAAGGGTTTAGGTGGTGTCCATTCTTCAGAAGCAAGGAAACTGTTAGCCCAAACGATTCAACAGGAGAATGAAACACTTCACAAACTTAAGGCCATGTCTTCTCACTTCCGGTTTGCCCAAGCAGAGGCATACTTCTATCACCACCACCAGCAAATGATGCTGGAAGAAGCGCGCACACACAAAGTGGCTCCAAAATGGGAAGTTAAAGAGGAGGAAGAGGAAAAAAGACCACCAAGTGAAAGAACAGAAGATGCTGAGAAACGGTGCTTCCCGGTGCCTGAGAGGGAGCTGAGACAGATAGAGAAACACATACACCGAGCCGAACGAGCCAGGGGCCTCAGGGACCACGAGTTCCGACCACTGCCTCTGAGAATCCCAAGTGAAATGCTTTTCCCCAAAGCATTAACACTGGAGAAGAATGAAAACACTGAAAGCATCCAGAAAATACACAAAACTAAGACCAAAGAGCACAGGCTGGCCTGGGCGGAGAAACAGATTAAGGGACATCAAGACCGAATGACTCGAGGGAGAGAACTCACAGAGCAAAGGAACCGTCAGCGAGATGCTCAGAAACTCTCTGCCCAAGCTCCTCCTTTCCTAAAACCACAGGTGGAGAAAGAGAAAGTAAAAGAACTTGAATGGGTCACAGCCTATCCACTTGTCCAGCCTTACCAAGACTCACTTATAGAAATGACTGTTCTGATGGAAAAGTCAAATAAACAGGATAAAATTAAAAAACCACTCCAAAGAGAGTTCTTGAGGATGCCACCATTTTTGAGGCGTCAACTAGAAAAACATAAAATTTACATTTTTTTCTAGATTTGTTATGTCTTTTTTAGGCTGTAACATTACCTTCACAGATGTTGGTGCAGTAAAACCTCCTATCCCCTAATTTTGTTTCTAACTGCATCACACTGGGGGAAAAAAATTAAACCACAAGCACAGCATTCCCAAGTGTTTCAGCTATCTGTATAAATAACCCAAAACTTGGTGAATTAAAACCACCACCATTTTATCTCACAATTCTGTATCAGGGATTCAGGCAGAGCTCAGCTGGGCAACTTTTCTGCCCCATGCAGCACCACTGGGACTCCTTGGGGACATTCAGGGGATGGCTGGGCTAGTCTGCAGGGTCAAGATGGCTTGGTGCAGGGGTGGCTAGAAGGTTGAGCCTAGCTGGTCCCTCTCTCTGTCCCCCCCCCCATTTAGTTTCAGAGCCATGTGGTAGTTGGACTTAAAACATGAGAAGCCTGTCAGATGCCACCAGACTTCTTAAGACCTAGTCTCAGAAGTCCCAGACCACTTCTGCTGTGTTCTGTTGGTCAAACAAGTCACCAAGACCAGTCCACATTCAAGGGGAGAGAAACAGACTCTTTCTCGCAAAAACACTTGCAGCCATTTTTTAATCTACCACCCCAAGCCTCTCCTTCATTATGCTTTTCATTGTTCTTTTATGGGAACACGGCTCATAAGAATATGAACAAAAGAAATCTGCAATTCCACAGCTCCTGAGTTGGTCTTGACTAAAGAGCCCTGGCTCCCTCTCTGTAAGTACAGACAGAGTGTAAAAGCCTGTTACAGTCGTTATGCAGACAGCACCTCGTCTTGTATTCTCCAGGGCACCTGAAATCTAACGGGATACCACTTACCTAGGCCTAAGCCCCAGCCCTGCCAGAGATCCAGGACTCTATGACGTAGCCCACAGGGGCTCACAATCTATTTGAGAAGGTGTAAAAGCTACACCGAGAATGTGTACTAGAGGGTAGGGTAGCAGTTTATGGGGAACGCAGGGCCAGAGAATGCACTTTGGATGATAACTCCTCAGGCAGGCAGAGCAGTCGGGAGAAACTCAACACCAGTGCCCCCTCCCGCCAGCCACCATCGGCACAGAAATGAGGCCCAGCCTTATTTTAGTTTCAGTTCCAGTGGGGGAACTCTGCTGGAAAAGGAGTGCAAACAATGTGAGAAGCACAAACGGAGGAACTGAGGTGAACACAAGGTGCTGTTACAACACAAAGTTCTGGAGGGAAACAGGCTTTGGGGATGTTCCTGTGTTTGATTTTTAACAGATGACATATTAGGTTTTTTTTCCTATTCAGAGGTCTAAAGAAGTAAAAGTGGCCCATAACCTCTCTGTCCAAGTAACTTCTGTTGATAATTTTTTAAAATAATGAAGAAGTGTGTGGTTAGAAAACTCAAACAATTACAGAAAGGTACAAAATGCAAAGTAACAGCTTTGGCCCCTTGGCTTGCAAAAGGGAACCACTTTTCTTGACAAGGAGTTTGAAACAAGTAGAAAGCAGATGAATGAAAAAGGCAGCTCTAAACACACATGCTTGAAAAATTAAAATGTTAAGACCACATGTTGCGTGATTCCCTTTGTGTGAAATGTCCAGAATAGGCAAACGTGTGGAGATAGAGACAAAATTTTTTGACAGAATGCAGGTTAGTGGTTGGTTGGGGCTGGGGGGTTAGGCGGGTAGGTGAGGAGGGGTGACTGACAGTTACTGGGTCCAAGGTTGAAGGGACAAAAATGTTCTAAAACTAGATTGTAGTGACGGCTGCACAGCCCTGTGAATAGACCAAAAGGCAATGAATTACACAGTTTAAATGAGTGAACAGTATGGTATGTGACGTATATCTCACTAAAGCTGCTTAACCAAAATGAAAGAGATGGCTAGAGTTCAGAGAGGAAGGAAGTGAGCCTGGAACCCGATCCTGCGAGGCTTTGGGTATCATTGAAGAGCTCAGGGTTTCAAATCCTGAAGACAGTGGGGAAATTGCTGACAAACTAACAAGGAGTTGTGAAGAAAAGGAAGAGATCTGAAGGATGGACAGGAAGTGGGGAACGTAGATGGGAGTCAGGGGCAGCGAGCTGGGCAAAATGCAGAGAGTCAGGAGACCAGATTGGAATCCGTGACTGAAGGTGGTAGAGGCTACACGGGGTAAAAGAGAAAAGAAATCCTGGGTTTCTTTCTGAGAAAATAAAGTAGTAAAAACACCCGTGCAGGAATTACAGGGAAAACAAATTGGGGGGCTGTTTTAAACACAGGTATAAAAGATGGCTCACATGTGGTCCAAAGAGCCATTGGTTACGTGCATCTGCAGCTTTTTAAAGAAGTTTAGCCAAAGTTTTGGCAACGTTCAGGACACAGATGTATTATGTCGTGAGAGTAAGGTCGTGGAAGGGGAACCAGGGAAAGCATCAACATACGATGCGCAGTTTTCAAAAGTGAATTTTCAAGTGTCAAATGCACAGCATTTATCCACTGGATTTAACAGATTTGGAAAGGAATCACCAATACATTTGGCGTCTAAGAGACCCCCAGTAGAATGGTGGGACAGAAGGTGCTACACTACACAGTTTGAGGTCTGACAAAGGGGGAGACAGCAAATGATTCTGATTTAAAAAGAGATAGGACAGTAACCTGAGAAGGGCCACAGTAATTTTTTTTAAGATGACAGACGAGCACAGTTGAAGGGAAAGTGCTAGATATGAAGAGGGGATGACGGACAGAGTAGAGAGCCGAGGATGCAGGAATCCAGAGCCTCCAAAGAACAGACACCTCCACCTCTGACAACAGAGGGAAGGAGTGAGAAAGGATGGATGCAGAAGGTGGGCAAATGGGAAAAGGAACCAACCATGACTCAGAGAACATCAAGGACTGGCCTGACGGACCAGAAAACACAGGAGCAGCGTTACTCACCCTGCTGTGTGGTTCCCTCTGGCCAATCAGCAGCCCTTGTGTACAAAGAGAGGACTGCGGGGAAGATGGATCCAGGGCTGGCACTGCTGGGGAAAGTGGTCCAGCCTGCCTTGAAAAAGGACCGAATAGTTTCTTATGTGTAAATCATAGGCTGAATCATATGAAAATGCTGATATCTGACTGTATTTTACTTAAAAACAACAATTTCATATGGTGCAACTTAATATTTGTTGACTAGTTAACTGTACAGCTAAAAAAAAGGTGTAAAAAGAATGATAATGACCTTTAGGCCATTAACAACCTAACCAAAACTTGCAATGGGACAGGACTGGAGAAAGGAGAAACTCTCCCAAGAACAGAAAATAAAGAATAACTACAATGATTTGTGAATATGGCAGTGAATTTCCTTTAATTAAAGACAACCATGACAAATTCATAAACTATCAAAAGCTACATTTTACTAAAAACAATATGTCTTTAAAAATGTCTAATCATACAATATATACAATACATGCTGCTTTCCTTTTTGGATTTCACTATCCATGTGAGTCCTAAAAAAAGGGAAAATAGCTGGTTAACAGTTTATAAATGATAAATCAAAAGTTCATTTAAGATACATAAATGAAATCTAACAACTAGTCTCTCCTCAGTGAGGAGGGGCCAGTTACACCCACATTATATATCTCAGGTCAGTTCTCTTTCCTTCAATTATCTTGGAACAAAAGAAACTCAATTAATTGAGGCACAGATTAAAAAGTTTCCATTAAGTACTAAAAAGCTAATTTTAACTTACAAAATCAAAGAAAATTCGAGCTAGAAAAAAAAATCCTGGCAATTACCTAGTTCAAAATTCTCCCATTTCATGGACAGATTTATAGACAAGGAAAATGAAGCTAAGTGAGATTAAGTGACCTGCCCAACATTTTAAAGGGGCAGAGCCCACTGAATCCAGTCTCCAGATTCCCATCCACAGCTGCGTGCAGTACAGAAAGCCAGATCACTACTAAGATTTCCTACTAGCAATGTTCTCTTTTGAAAAAATGAATTATTTCATAAGCATTACTCAAATTTCAGACATGCCCATTACCAACATCATTCCAAGGTAATTCTGTCTCACTCCTCCTTTTCTACTTTGTATCTACAAAATAAATGAATCTAATGGGACAGTGAACAAAGCTGATGGGAGGATTCAGTATTCCACTTAGCTAATTTATCAATCTGTCAGGGGGAGAAAAGCCAAACCAAGAATAATCTCCTGCTCTGTCTCTTTCAACTGCAAGTCTTAAGAACACCGAAGTAATCAGCCCAAAGAAGGGAACTTGCAACCACTAGGTTCTCTTCTGCCTTTTTTACCACTTACACACAGTTCTAAGAATGGGACACTAGAGGGAAGCAAAATCCAAATTTCACCAGAATGTGAAAAAGTGAAAAATAAACTTAAATAAACACACACCGCCACCCGATAGAAAATGTTACCTTTAGCTGGTGTCAAGCACTTAACCTCGGCTGGCTTTGACTTGAAGCAATCACAGCCTCTGAGATCTCAAAGGTCTTCACAATCTCCTGGTAGAGAAGAAAGAACATTTGGGCACTGGGTTTACAGCAGATGGCTTCTTGGAGATGAACCGCCTGGGGCCACATACAGGGCTTTACCTCCCAGTCGCGATAACTCAAAGCTATAATTCCTTGATTCCTAATTTGAGTGTTTTGGTCAATTCCTTCATTTTCTTCGTTAATATTAACAGGCTCTGTTTGAAAGACAAAGTTTTCAGGCTGTCAAATCAGAAGAGGTAATCTGAACAGAAACCAATGAATAATAGGAATGAAACCTGTATCGAGAAGATATGTAGAATGTTACATGCTTTTTAGGATTTCATGCATTATTGTGTTGTAGTATTATTACTATAGCAAGTAATTCCATTTGTTTCCATTAAAAAAAATGTGGAAGAATAACACATCCAATCACTTGGAAACCTCTGCATAGCTATGAACCAACCACAGAGCTAAGGCCTAGTGAGTCCAATATGAAATTAAGAACTTTTAAAGTAACAGGTAAGTACAATAAAAGTACTTTATCCTCTACAGGAGACCTTAGAAGCAAAAGAGTGATGGAGAGTGTGAAACCATTCAACCAAGAATTAAAGATTCTCTCAGGGAGACGAGGAGCTGGCGTTAGAGAGAAAATAGAAAGAAGGAAACTATTAAAAAAAAACTGCAATTAGAAATTTTCTAAATTAAAATTTAAGGGAAATTGTATCATTTCTTGTTAATTTTTACAGCAGTAGATGGTGAATCAGTGATACAGATGAATCCACTGGTTTTAAACAATGATCATGTTTTCAATATTTTCAGTTAGTTGAGCAAAACACAGCACTGTAAAAAGTTAGTTACCTAAGATAAAACACATTTATATTTAATAAAATACATTTCACAAACTCTAATAACAAATACATTTTCTCTAAAAGTAATTTTTCTGAACACAGGATCACTTACCTATTATTGGCAATCGGTCTTGGTCAAGTCTTATTCTTGCAAAACCATCCTAAAACACAAACGTGATTTTAGGAGAAGACTAAAATTTAGATTCAAAAACCTATAACCACTGGATGAAATAAATTACTCGATTAGAAAATTCTATATCTTAGACACTCAAAATGTACCATGAGAATAATGAGATTATATGGACAAGCCTTCTCCAACATCTTTCTCTACACGGACTAGCTCTCAGGTTCTAATCAGCAATTTTACCCAGACACAGCCTCCATCCTGAAGATCTCTTAAATAAATCTGTAACCATCTTGCCTCTAACTGATTCACTGTTTGAATACTCCACATTTTATTATGCATAATTCTATCAGTTACCATTGACAAATATGCTTCTGATCTCATTTCTGGAAAAATACTTTGGTCAATAACAGATTTTTGTCTAAGGTTAAAATCGAAGTCATCTTACAAGCTCAGGAATGCAACTTAAGACTAAAAAGACAGACTAGAGCAAATTCTTAAAGTATATTTCTGAGTATGTTTTTTTAACTATCTATTTTGAAATTATTTCTAACTTAGTTATCTATAGTTCCATATTCATATTTTGCCAATTCTTTCTCTTAAAAATTTCTAGGATATAAAAGCAAGCACATAAATTTCTAGCTAGTTTCTTCTGCCTACGGCTTGTCAACGTTTTGCTACAATGGGTCTAAGACACATCTTGGTTTGTACAGATTCCTTTGCCAGCTCCCATCTATAGCTGTTATTATATATCCTTTTAAAAGCATATAAAAGCAATTAGAGATAATAATCTTAAGTCTTACCCTTATAATAAAGGAAACATGAAAGATGTTTTCCACTGTTCGGGGGAAAGAATGTGGATCAATCACAAAGTCGAAGAAGGACATAGGAGTATCAGCTACAGAAAAAAGAGGAAAAGACTCTTCAATACAGGAGAAATTATTTTTGCTTACCAATAAGACCAATACTCGCTAGCGTTAGCCAGAGAAAGGCAATGTGCACTCATCCTTTTGTGGGCTGGAAATCAGTACAACCCTGCAGGAGGCAATTTGGCGTATCTATTAAAAATCCACATGCCCACTCACCTGGCGATCCTCCTCTAAAAAGCTGTCCTACAGAAATACTAGCACATGTGCACAAAGTTGTGTGCCAAGATTTTCCACCCCAGCAGTTTATACAAAAGTAAAATGCTACTTGCCCACTAATAGAGGATTTGTTAAATATATTTATGACATAGCCCCCCAGTGGGAATTACTGAAAATGGCAAGTGAGAAATCCGTATGGGAAAACATCCACATGGAGAAGTTATGTTGTGGAAGGATGTATATATTATGATTAGCTTTGAAGAAAGCAAAAAGCCAATTATAAAAAAAATCCCAACTACTTAGTTGCATATTTATATGACTGACATAAACAGAAGAAAATCTGAAAATATACGCATCACATTTTATAAGTGCTGACATCTAGGGAATGAGGGTGGGTGGAACAGGTACTTGACTTGTTACTCTTCTCATTTCTATGGCATGTATTGTTTTGTAACAAAAAAAAATCTTTTAAAAATAAAAAATGAGAAGTTAGAATTTACTTCGCCAATGTTCTCACATGGGATTTCTAAAGAGGAGAAGCCTCATTAAATATATATGCCAAGGAAGAATCAAAATGACTCAGACTTCACCTATAACTGATAATGCCTTTTAAATCAAAATAACTTCTCATTGAAAGTGACACCAGTCTAACTGATAAATACAAGTTGCCCCACTTGGAACTTGGTATCATACTTACGATCTTCTTGAAAATATGTTTGCAACAATCCCAAGATTCTTTCTACTTCTTTTTCTGTTGCTTCTTGATGAGATTCTTCCATTCTTTTTAACTGAAAATACAAAGTCATTATCAAGCAGACTGACCTTCTTGCCCGCCTGTTAACCTTTCCTGCACCCTTACATGGCCAAATTCCTCTAAATATCTTTTATGGGGGATTGCTAGCAGTTTTTATCCGTCTTAAAATTTAGTTTTTCTAGTTTTAGTAACATTTTTATATTAATTTTCTAACAGAGGAGTAACATTACCAAATCAACCATTTTCAGGCTGAATATGACATACAAATACAAAATACAAAAGGGGCAGTTCAGAATAGTGGGTCTCAACTGGGAATGATTATGTCCCCCAGGGGACATTTGCTAATATTTGGTGTCATACGTGGGGTTTGGGGGGGAAGGATGCCCTTAGCATCTAGTGGGAAGAGCCAAGGACACTGCTAAACACCCCACAATGCGCAGAATAGCCTCTCACAACCAAGATTTACCAGCCCCAAATGCTGATAGTGCCGAGTTTAAGAGACCCTGGTTTGGGAGAACTAATCCAAACTACAGAAATGAGTTAAAACTAAGAAAAGTGGTCAATCCGATAAAATATTTAAAGGCTTAGATAAATTAAAAAATGATTCAAACATTAAATGATTCCTTTTAAGTGACAGAACCTGACTCCAGACCCTAACACTTAGAAAAGATGGCCGGATTACATGTATCATTACACTAATGGCTATTTCAACTTTAGGTGTTTTAAAAAGCAACATTTGAAAAAAACAAACCTGGGCAGGCATTGCCTGCTGCTCTTCTATCATACGAACTTTTCTTGGACGATCAACTCGTGGCTTTGGCACAGGAGCCTCTCCTTGTATTGAACCCAACCTAATGAAAAATACGCTTTCATGTCTTTTTTGGTTTGTTTTTAAAACAAACTAATTTCACTAGCTGAAAGGAGTTCCCAATAGCATAGGCAAATTCAGACCAGGCGTCAGTGATGAATGAGCTGACATCAGACCAAGACTCATGTCAGGTTTGTGACATCCTTTCTGCTCCCTTTGTGTTTCTAAAAGAACTCCTAGGAGCCTGACTCGACCATAGATACCTCCTCAAGCATCTTCAGATTTTACTCTGAACGGTAAGTCAGTGAATATGCCTGTGGTCTTCCCAGCCAGCCTGTTGAGTTTCGCAAAGCCAACTTCTGAGATCAGGGGAAGGATGAACAATTTGGGAAGGTGAACAAGCAGCTCCACTAGGGTAAAAGGCCTTTGGTGTGGGGGTGCCAGGGCAGAGGCCCACAGCCTGGGACCGCAGAAGACACCTGAGGACAGCAGGTCAAGAAGAGGCTATGGCATTCCTTTCCCTTTTGGAAAAAAAGCTTCCATGCAGATTTAAGCTACAGTAATAGACATACTGTGTAGAAACCAAGGCCTAGAGAATTTAGACCCAAGTCTACACTTGAGGAGATCAAAGTATACAGTGTAGATGGACAGATATTCATGCACACAGATCCATTTCCACATAACATGGTAGATCCTTTAGTGCTGTACTGGAGAATTACTCAAGCGCTAGCAGAGCATCTGGGCAGAGAGATCTACCCAGACATGGGACGGATCTGGTTGTGAAATCTGATCCTACACTGATTCCTCTATCTAGAGAAGTTACTAGAGGCTTCCAAGTTGGGGCCTGTGGGATAAGTAAACCTTATCAGATGGAAAAAAAATGGGAGAAAGGACACTGTAGGCCAAGGAACAGCAAGTGCAAGGCTGCAAAGCTGCAAATAATTCATTGTGGCTGCAAACTGGGCGAGATGGTGAGATGAAGTCGAGTCACATAACAAAAGGCTATCTTTAGATCCCAGGATTTATGACAGAGCCTAGAACTCAACAGCAAAAAAAAAAAAAGAATCTGGACTTGTCCTATCACAAAGGAGTTTGCTGTTTTTGCTATAATATACAGTGGTTCTGGGCACTTGAGTTAACAAAAGTCTTGTTAAAAAGAGATGCCTGGCCCCACACCACAGGCCTATTACATCTGTACCTCCAAAGCCTCTGAGACACTACTGATCTCAGGAGGACTAGAAGGGTCATCAGAGGAGACAAATGCCCAGGGGCTATTCACTTAAGGAAGAAACGACTTGGGTGGTTACCCTAGAGAAATTATCCACAAGGCATTTGAAGGCTCTCTTACAAAAGAACCAGTACGGGCTGTTTCTCGTTACTCCACAGGACAGAGCTGGGAAAGTAAAGAAGCCAATTCCCATTTGAGAATAAAGAAAAGCTTTTCAAAATCAGAGCTGTGTCCAAAAAATGACCTGGGCAGTTTAAGTGACAGTGGCTCGAGAAGTCTTCATGTCATACAGGTCAGAAATCATCCAACAGGGAATTACAATAAATGGTACTTTACATATATTGGTAGAAAATCTTCAGAAACCTTTCATGGGAGGTATCAACCTTCTACATGCTAAGGATTTAAAGAGGATGAAACAAAACCAGACATGATGTCACAGACCCAAAGTCTTCCACGCTGGGAAACAAAGGAGCCGGCAGAGTGCCTGGGTAAGGGATGCTAGGCCACGGCCTTCGCTGCTTAAATTAAGCAGGGTGAGGTTCCAAGCACATCAAGATTGTACAGGCTTTTAAACCAATGGCATCATGATCATCACCTCTACAATACCAAATAATTTTTCTGTCCCTAAAGAACAATTTAAGGATTACAGATGGCCAGTCTGTCAGATTTTTAAAATCATCTTACAGGAAGTGGAATGTATGGGTTTTATTAAAGGTGTTTTCTGCTGTTTTGCCTGATATTTTCCAGGAGTCATAGACTATGAATTCAAAATCAGAACTATCTTCATCACGGATGAGTTCTTCAGCTTCTAGCGGGTTTACACCCATATGTGTCAGCTACAAAAATGAAGGGAAACAAAAACCCCAGTTAAGCCACAAGCAATCATTTACCACGTCCAATAATCTCTATCACTAAACAGGAGGCCAGAGGCAGTCTGTTTTGACTGTCCTAACAGGTTGGCTAAATTTCTTATTATAAAGATAATCTTATATATGTAAATTCCTATTTTCAAAAGTATCGTCTTTTTGGCAGAAAATATTCCTCAATGTACTTAGAATTTTTGAGTAAGAAAGTAAGATGCTCTAGACCGATGGATCTCAACCAGGTGATTTTGCCTGCACCCTGGAGTCTTTTGGCATTACGCCTAGAGACATTTCTGGTTGTCACAACTTGGGGAGGGGGCAGAGGGGACAGGGTTACTGGCATCTACTGGGTAGAAGCCAGGATACTGTTTAACATCCTTCAAGGCATAGTTCAGGCCCCCACGACCATGACTCACCCAGCCTGAAATGTCCTTAGTGCCAAGGCTGAGAAACCCTGCTTAGCCCCCTGCAGGCTGAGAGGTTGACATATCAGAAGAACTAACCCCGCTGGGAATTTCTGATCACAAGTCATTCATTTTTAAAGAATCAGTAAAGCTGCATTAGCATAAAAATACGAAATCACATCCCAAAGCAAAAGTTCCGAGACAGAACAGGGGAGTTTGGCTGGCTTTCAATTTTCCTTTTCAGCCAACCTCCTGGAGCCCTCTATTCAGCTTTATCTCAGCCCTTGCAGACAGCATGGTCTAGCGTCAGGCATCTTAAAATGGCCTTCCTGGGAAGAGTTGGCAGAAGTCTAATAATTCTCTTATTTCAAGCTATCTCGCAGAAAATGCATTGCATTAAATTTACTTTTATGAAAGTACACGTTACATGATAAAATTATGAAATGCCTAGAAGTTATCAAATTAAAATGGTAGTATCATATATAAACAATAATCAAAAAGCCCTCAGAGAACTTAACCCTTTAAAGGCAATTAAACTTTGAAAAAAAGAGAGGCTGCAAGAACCCAGTCAGAGAGGTGTGGTCAGCTCCCCTCCCCTCTCCTGCTGCCCCGTCCCACACCACACACTTGGAGAAGGATGCCTCCATATTTGTCTGGTCAAATCTGGCAATTTATAGTCTTTATATTTGCTACCATATTTTTAAGAAGTCTTTCCCCATCCAGAGACTAGACAGCTATTAATCTAGGGTTTTACACTGACGGCTTTAAGACTTTAGGAATTTATTTTGATATGTTATTTAAAGTACAAAGCTCACCCTGATAAGAGTAATTTTTAAAAAGATTACCCAATATATGGCCAACTCTATTTACTGAGCTATACATTAGGGTGCATTTTTCAAAATGCACTATACTTCAAAATTTAAAAGTTAAAGAAAAAGGAAATTTTAAGGTTTGAAACTGAAGGAAGTTAAACTTAGATTTTAAAAAATTTAAGGTTTTAAAAACAACAAAATACCTCGTCTGCCTCAAACTTTTACAAAATAATTTATCTGGTCAGATCTCATGGTACTAAATCATTTTAATAACCATTTAATAAACATTCAGACAGGAATTCAATGTCCAAGCAAACATGCTAGGGCAGAGATTGGCTCAGAGTAGAACCAAGGGGGAAAAAACCAGCAGAGTCTCATTGCACTTTTTTTTTTGGTCAATCAGTCAACCAAAAATTTCAAAATTTCAGGTAGCAACCATTCAAATGTATTAAGAGGCAAAGAAAGGTGAATAAAACCACCACCAAAAAAAATCCCCAAAGCAGAACCCCAATCATATTCATATGGTTCTGAAATATTCTCCAAGACAGACCAAAAATGTGCCCCCTCCAGCAGTCCTAACTCATCTCCAGCTGAACTCTGCCACTTGCAACGCGGGCTTTTGCCCAGCTCAGGACAAAGGTCCCAGGTCACTGAGAATGTGCTAAAACACTTATGAATGGATAGTTGAGTGAGGAAAAAAATGGCCATTCAAAATTAACATAGCACTCAGAATCTTAGAAGGCCAGGAGATTTTCAAACTGCTCTAAGCTCCCAACCTAGATTCCACCATTAGCTCTCACGTCGTCTGGTTTAATTTGATAAAGATCTCTTTGGAGGAATCTGAGACCAAAAAAAAGGAAAAATGAAGTGAAAATCCTTTGCATATGGATATGAGCCAAGTACATAATTATACAGCATGTGCAGATGAAACATTTTTTGTTAAGATTCTGTAGCTTTGAACTTACTAGAGTTTCAACATATCTTAACATATCAAACGAGTTCAGATCAGAACGCAGCTGCTTTGCCTTCTCTTTGCCCAAATCTGAAGCCAAAACAAGAAACTGGGCATCAAGGACTGCTTCTCTTGCTCGGGACACTATTCAAAAAAGAAGAAAAATACACGTATTACAACATACACGTTATCCACAGGTATTTCCCCTAAATTTCCAACTACTTACTCCGCATTTCCCACTGGACCAAAAAAATCTCAAACGTACCCATCTCTGTCTAAAAATTGGTTCCCCTGCCCAACTTACCAAAATCTGAAATCAAAGCTGACCAGTCTTCCTAAAAGCCAGCTTTCTCTGCACTTTTCCTACTCCTGGGAACTGAATCACAATTTTTTTTTAATTGAAGTATAGTCAATTTACAATGCTGTGTCAGTTTCTGGTGTACAGCATAATGTTTCAGTCGTATGAACCACAATCTCTTAATAATCCCAGTTTAACACAACCTTCATCATCTCTAACACTTGCTTTTCCCATTGACTCCAGTAACCCATCCCAGTCACTATTAACACCTGCGAGGGTGATGTAAGTCAGACTGAATGTCCAATATGTGTAAGGCACTATGCTTGGCGTGGTGGTTTGCTGACCAGCAACAAGTAAGTTGTCCTGGAACCTCAACTGAAATAACACGCTGGACAGGCAGCAGGGACGCACGCCTCCGCCCAGCAGCACCAACACCACCAAGTGAGCGGTCTGTAGGCAGCAGGGCTGTGACCTCTGGGCATGGATGATCCAAAAAGGTCTGACAGAGGACATGGGATTTAAGATAAGCTATAGAGAGAAAAAGGTTTAAATCAAAGGAGACAAGAGGCAACGGGGCAGGGAAACCGAGCATGAAGTTTGGGGAGATGAGGGAAGGGTCCACTGCAGCTAACAGCAGAGCTGAGGGGCATGGTAAGTTTAATCAGACCCCGACGGGAACAGGCAGTGGGAGGAAGTGCTCTGGGAACACCGGCAAAGCTGAACGGAAAAGGAAGCCAAGAAGAGACAAACACGGGGAAGTTCAGATACAGAAATGCCTACGCCCGGCTTGCTCCTCAAGGCCATTTTATCTGAATCACCGATTTCCCAAACACTCCTCAGGCTGGTGAACTTACTGACTCCAGGTTTTGTAGTCACATGTTACTTTTTCCTCCGTTTTATATCGGGAGACTTGCTGTCTGAGTGACAATGAGTGACAGAACGAAGCAGAGACAGATGCTAGAGAAGCTGGTTCCTGGGCTGTCCTAGATCTCCCGAGCCCAGCATCCTCACAGCACCTGCTGGGAGAAGAGTGTAGATCTCTCCCAGATGGAGCCACGCCTCTAAAGACTTAAAACTGAGAACATCAAATCCACAAATACAGACGATACAGAATTTGATGCTTGCTGACCACCTCCTAAGGTCCAGTCGAGTGTATAATTCTGCCTTAAAGAGGTGACCCCGTCAGCACGGTGGAAATGGCCGAGGGGGAAATGATTTGTTAATCAAGATATTTTAAGATGGGTGAATAATAATAATAAGGAGGCAAATGAGTCAAGAGTAACCTTGAGGAGAGGGACTGGGGGGCCTGGCTCTCCAGGCTTGGAAGAGAAGAAAAAGCTACAGAGGGTGGAGAAGTGATTTCACTGGGTGAAAAGGCAAGACTTGCTTCCAGAAGATTTGATGAGATTTAGTAAACTGGTAGACCAAGGTGGGGGATGGTAAGAAGGCTG